ATTCAAAACCTAATCATTTTCTCTAATTCTAATGGATTTGATTAAGCTATATAGACTAATTTTAATTAGTTCATGAATTATTATTCTTTTTGGTTATATTTGCAATTTACCCTTTTTTATAAGGGTTATTTGCAATAATAACCAAAAAAATTATAATTAAAATCTAAGTAAAATATTAGAGAGAGATAAGGAAAATTAGAGTGAGAAAGAGGAGAAATTTGGTTAGTTTATGTACTATAGGTTTTTTGTAGGTTATATATGGAAATTTCCCTTTCTATAAGCCATTACAATATTAAATACTTCATGGTTTTTTTTTGTTTTGGAGAATTGATTTCTGGAGAACGTAATTCTCGTTTGGAAATATAATCATTACAATATGGTACGGACTCACCGAATTCACACGTGTGTATACATTAAATTTAAAAATAAGCCAAGTTGATTCATATCATTAACGCCTATGAATGATTATTATCTTAAAAGTGGAAATGTGACCAAACCGACAACGCTTGTGAGTTGAACGAACCGACGCCGTATCGTTCACCTACTTTTGGACCTTTCTCAATACATCTCACACATATCTACAGACCACATACTCTCGTTTGTTTACCAACACGACTCATGAATTGGCTCGTTAGGCAACCATTAATAACATAAATTTAATAATTTATAAGAGAGGACGAGCTTTATGATGATAATAATATAAAAAAGTAGAGAAGTTGGCCAAAGAAGAGAAAGTAATTCGGTTTCAATTTGATCAGACGAAAATACCTTTGGTATTTGGACAGCAAAATGGAAATTTAAGTAAACCATAGAGTGGACGAGCTAAAATTCGGTGGATCTTTAATTTTTTCGAGTGTTACTCAGCCACACAATGTTTGTGCACGATATTATACCTTGTCTTGTACAGTATATATTAGAAAGACGGCTCTCGAAGCTTATTAAATCAATAAAAAATTTTTTTTTAAAAATGCCATTTTTCAAGTGTCACATTTTTACAATATTTGCAAAAATGTCATTTTTAAAAAATTATTTATTTATTATATCATTTATGTTTGGATTAACTATGTTGTATTAAAGTTTAGTTTTGAGGGTTTAAAGAATTTTAGGGGTCAAAAGATTTTTGAGGGTTTAGAATTTTAAAATATAGGCTCTAAAAAATCATAATTAGTGGCATTTTTGTAAATGGACATCAAAATTGACATTTTTGCAAATATAGACATAAAAAGTTGTATTTTCGTAAATGTCTCGAAAAGAAAAGACATTAAGCTTAGAAATAAATATCTCTATAATTGCCTAGTTTCGTCGAGCTTTTTCTTTCTTTCGAATATTAAGAGGTTATCGTCCTAGACCCCGTACATCTCATCAGATCGGAGACTATAACATTTTATATGGTTTCTTTTTAACTGTCAATCGAACCAGCGACGTATTGTACTTGATTATCCATTTTAAAAGACATTTACTGCTAAATCTTTTTGAAAGATAAATATAGTGTATGATAAAATATTTATTCATGTCATGCTATGTTATCGTTTGTGAGCGACTACACCGACTAGTGCTCGCCAATTGTGGTAACTGGATAGAGGACACGATTGGCAAGTGAAAGTTAATGCCAAATCCAAAAAAAAATGTATATGCGAAAAGAAAATAAGTTGTAAATGATAGATGGTTTATTGATTTGCCACACAATAGATGAGACCGAGACACCCTTTGTGTAAACCTAACTATCCAAGACCATGAATATTTTTCCTTAAATGAACATGGACCTATGGAAGTGAAGATACATGTGAAATCAGAACCGGCTTGAGAAAGAAGTTATTCGTCTTCTTGATTCTTGATTTATGATCTAAGGATCTTGTTTATATGTATATGTGCTTTTTAAGATAAAGATCAATTTAGAAGAAAATCTAAATATATGCCATAATATCCCATAATTCTCAATAATTCATGAGTCTCTGAAATCGGAACTACTCTCGATTTCGAAGAAACAAGTAAGTTCCCAATTTTGAAAGCAAAGTACGAGAAAAAATCTCCTCTCCCCACTGTTTCTCGGCCTCACGCCAGTGAACGAGAAAATCCGATGCCTAAAAAGAAATAGCGGCTTAAGGCCGTCTTTTCCTCCTCCTCCAAATTTGCCCGGATCTCTGCCGCTGCAAACGCTTTGGCTAAGCTCAAGTCGAAGAATGCTCTTCTCTCCTATGGTCCTTCCGCCGTTGCTCTTTCAGCTTCTTCTCCTGTAGCTCCTCCGTCCAGCGCACCTGCGGCTCCTCTTCGTGGTTCTCCGGCATTGACTTCTACATATCTGAAGGCTTCCTCTCATTCGGGAATCGTGCCTGTTGCAGATCTGGTTTCTCCGTTGCTGTAATCGAACACGGCGGATGCTACTTCCGGTTCCTCTCAGGCCGCCGTTGAGTGTCTATCCTCCGGCCCTGCTCAACCTGCAGTAGTTCCAAACCCGTTGGTTGAAGCTCCTCCACAGAGAAAATGGTCGAGTGTTATGAGCAACTCATCACTTCTCGAAGAAGTTGGTACTCCATCTGAGCACATCTCTGGGGTTTTCTTTGTTCTAATTCCCGACGAGACTATTGAAGAGGCTAAAGAGAAATTTAAAGACTTCATCTTTGCCCAATTCCATGACAAAGGCCCATAATTAGGAAGGATTATCGGTGTGGTCAATGCCTTATGGGCACGCACTGGCCCTCGTATATTTTTCCATAATGTTGGGACAGGCGTATACCTTCTCCGTGTTCTGAATCCCAGAACAAAAGCAATTCTTCTCGGTCGCAGCGTATGGAACATAGCATGTCATCCTATGTTTGTGTCTCCATGGTCGACAGAATTCAATCCGGAGATTCCTCTAATCACCTCGGCTCCTGTTACAGTGGAACTCAGAGGTGTCCCTTATCTCCTCTTCACCAGACAAAGTCTCAGCAGAATTGCGACGGCGTTGGGGAAACCGGTTTCCCTTGCACCTGAAACAGAACGCAAAAAGTCTTTTGAAGTTGCGAGAATGGTTGTTCGTGTGGATCTGACCAAAGATTTACCGTCGAAGGTTATTTTTGGTTTCTCAAATGGCAGAGAAGTGGAAATTGATGTCTCTTATCCTTTCCTTCCACCAAGATGCTCGTCTTATAAGGAATATGGCCATGCTTCTAATGCTTGCTCTTTAAGGCCTAGTAACATCTCTTCCCTCATGCGCAGTAATACGAGATCGAGAAGTAAAGAGTATAGACATGGTAAAAGGTCTAGGCCAGGAAGGTCAAGGAGAACCGAACCGACTAAATATGTCTGGATGGCTGTTGAAAATCAGACTATGCCATTGAAATTTACTATAGAAGGGCCACCTGAGGTAAAACAGTCAACTGTTCTAAAGGAGGATGTTGATGTGGGTAACTCTGCAACTCATACTACTACAGGCTCAGAGAAAAACACAATATCACCAGATGGTATTGCATCAGATTCAATCGAAAAGCACATCTCAGAAAAGTCTGTACAAGTGGAAGAGGAAGCTCCTTTCTTCTTGGTCTCGCGCAAGCAGAGTGGCCGTAAGGTAACACCTCAACACCAAGCCTCATCATTATGTATTTTGTGTAGAATATAAGAGGTTTGAATCATTACAGACGTCAGAGCATGACAAAAGAATGGATTAACATCCATAAGCCACTTTAGGGAGCGTTTTGTGAAACGCATATACAATCTAGTAATTCAGGAAGAATATTGAGAGCAATTCCACTAGGCTGGAATTTTTTTAGAAATTTTGAACATCACATCACGGGAAGGATTGTGGTGGTCTGGGACCCGTCCGTGTCTCTAGTGATCTATCAAGCTTCTGCTCAATTAGTTACTTGCGGCATCTTCATTCCTGCTCAGAATGTAAGTTTGACAGTCTCCTTTGCTTATGGTTTTAATCTGGTCGAGCACAGATTGTCTCTTTGGGAGGAATTGTCAGATATTAATGCAACTACGCCGGTTGCTTCTCACCCTTGGGCTGTTGTTGGAGACTTCAACCAAATTCTTAGAGTCTCTCACCACTCTGATCATGCGCTCAGAGATGTTGATACGTCGGGTATGGAAGACTTCAATCTGGCTCTTCAGGATGCAGAACTCTTTGAAGCTCAAGCTAAGGGTATTTCCTTCACTTGGTGGAACAACCAAGATGATGATCCTATCTCTAAGAAGATCGACCATTCTCTCAGTAATCAGTACTGGTATGCTAGTTTCCCTGATTCCTATGCAGAATCTTGGAGCCTTTGCAATCAGACCACGCTGCTTGTCTCATCAGGGTACCATCTCTCAAGAGATCTGTTTGTAAAACTTTTAAGTTTTTTTAGCATGTAGTGGATCATCCAGAGTATGCCGACTCTGTAAGTCAAGCTTGGAATCCTCAAGTTATTCAAGGAACTCGTCAATTCAAGCTGGTAAGATCTTTAAAGCTTCTCAAGCTTGTTTTAAGGCGGCTCAACAAGCATCATTACAGTGGGATATCTGTTAGAGTTAAGACTCAAGCGGCCAAAATTGCTAGGTTGCAGCGGGTTCTTCTATCAAACCCTAAACCACATATAACAAGACAAGAGCATCAGGCTAGAGAGGTGTGGCAGCTGCTTCTAACGGCTGAAGAGAAGTTTTATTGTCATAAATCTCGTGTTAGGTGGGCTCACTTGGGGGACAGGAACACTCCTTTCTTCCAAAAGTCTGTCTTGCAACACGCTGCTAGAAATCATATCCACTTCCTTAAAGATCAGACGGATAGGAGAATTAATACCATCGAGGAAATCAAAGCTCACTCGGCGGGTTACTTTGAGAATACCTTGGGCTGTATTGAGATGCCTACATCCCTGGTTTCTGTGATTGAGTTACAAAGCTTGATGCCTTTTCGCTGCTCTGAATCTCAGATCCAAGATATCCTGAAACAGGTGACAGAAGATGAAGTCAAAGCAACCATATTTGCCATGCCTCTGAACAAAAGC